GGTTTGTCCTGTGTAATGTCTAGGGCAGTCCTGACATGTGATCTGATAAACGACACCCGATTGTTCTCCCACGTCTAGTCGGTCCTTCACGCGCATGATTTTTTTGTGCATGGTCGTTGTCGGATGGTGAGCGAAAGACCATTGATGAGCCAAACCCCTCGCATCTGTGTCATGCAGTGGCAGAATATCAGCGGATCACGTGTCTGGCTTTTTGCCAGTGCCTGTGCTGCAGCCCCAAACCAGTGAGATCTCCCAGCAGCGTTGGCGTCTAGGATAAGCTTTAATTTCAATCGTAATGCCTTATAGAATGCTTGCATTAAAATCATGAGTAGAATTATTAAGCACACTAGATAGACCTACACCGGCAGATGTGCCCATCATAAATTAGTCCACCCATTCAGATTGGGCCAGCACCTCAATTGTCATCACACATTCTTGACAGTTCAGGTTTTCAAAGTACAGCACTGGGTTCCCTCTTCCCGAGCAAGTGTCTTGCAGCGAAATGAGACAATCAGACGCCGGTGTCTAGAGCTCAACTTCGAGCTCCTCCTCCGACCCGGCGATAGAAAGAACGATCGAACGTACAGAAGAGTGCAGTTGTATCTTTGATAAAATTAGCAAAGTAAAGGCCTCACGCACAGGTTCCCCCTTGTTTGGATGATTTTTTGAATGCTGCACTGGTGTCCTTAGTGACTCGGAGAGTTGACACGTCATAGGCACGCATCATCGGACCGCTTTTCGCATGATCGACTACACTGACCAAAAATAGTAAGCAGGTTTCCATACGAAGGTAAATATATTGTTGCAAGCATATTGGTGTTACTAATATTCTTAAACACTCTCCTCTAAATTTTTTTTGTCTTTTTAAGTACCAATTTATTAATGGAGGGATTATCTCCAAGGCGTTGTCTTTTGAAAACTGAAAAGGGCTCACTTGCACGTAAGCTACGTAGCGTCTTTACTAACAGAAGGTGTTTTTATCGTGCCTGAACAGCCTTCAGGTTAAGGCTAGCACGTAAGGCCTACCAGTACATGAAAAACTGCCTACATGGAGGCGACAAGGAGGAAGACATGTCAACACGTGTCTTGGTTCAGTCCGTCAAGTCATGGAGATGGCTGCTGCGTCTCCCCTTCATTCCCGGCTCCTGAATGTTGGCATGCACTACCAACTACTTCCGAGCAGTGGTCACGGACTTCCGGCGCTGCACCAGACGCCTCGCCCTCCGGACAGTCTGTAAGCGATTCTGAACGAGGCAACGTTTCTGACTTCAGGTCCACGGCAGGAGTCTCAGTGGGGGAATTTTGAGGGACAGTGCGTGAGTTAGTGGACCTATAGCAGCAGCAGAGAAGTCGTATTTTAATACAGGAACTAATAGTTAAATGTAGCTTTTTTTCAGAATTTGCCTAGCTTGATGCATTCATTTGAGAAGAGATTCTTTTCACATGCTGCGATGCACATATACCTCGAGGCGAAATTAAAACGTCGCAAATCGATTAAGTCAAATTACACCAAATTTTGTGTGGCCTTAGAGCTCCAAGCTGGCGTTGTCGAATGCGGTTGACTGAGGCAGTTGATATAGTAAACTGACTGAATAATCTGACCTTACTGATAAATTTGTTTAGAATCTGGCATTTTTGGCAGATTCAGTCCAGTCATGTCGGTAGAGCAGTAAAATCTATACTGACTATCAAGGTCGTTCCCTCTTCCCCCTGCGCACTGCGTACTGCACTTCATTGACGAATCGCTGTGTACTTTGCATTTTTGCACGGTGAGGCCAAGAAAAAGTTTGACACTTTTGGCCGTTCTTCTCAAGTTCCGAAACAATACTGATGTGTTTATATCGTCAACGTAGGAGCACGCCCTTATCTGTATACTAAGACCATTTCCACTGTTTTCGCTTGCGTTTAGACTCGGTTCTTCGACAGAGCGCCCATATTAATACTGATATTTTGCTGAAACTATAAATGTTTTGCTCGTTCTCTTTCTAAAATTAGGTATGTACACTAACTGAACTACACGAAAAAGTTGTGTTTCATATGCTTTAAAATGGAAATAACCATTCAGTGCTAGTCATTTAAAAGACATCAGGTAGGATTTTTCAAACAGGAAAACAATGTATGCTCATCTGAACAAAGGAATCCCAATCTGCGTTGTTACCGCACTGTAGGGCATCAAAGCGCAAAGATCTGCTAATTTTACTTTTAGGAACAAATAAAATCTCTGGTTTGCTTAAAATTGCCTTTGTGTTTGCAAGTTCCTATTCACGGCTAGCATCAGACAAAGGTCTGGTTAAATCAATTTATTAGAATTCTTGTAAGCAAATTGTTATCCCTCAATGAAAAAGTCGCTCAGAAGAGTAACCGATGTCTAGGACATGTATTAGCATAGGAAATTGAACAAATATATTCCAACGTCCATTTTTGCCAAAACCTACTGATATTTTTCTTGTTATAAGTACGTAAGCAAAATTTCTGAACGAGAAAAGGACATTTTATTAAAGGATGTGGATGAGCGAACAAAATGCCTAACGTTGAAGACGTCCAGAAATTCTCTCATCAGCTTCCGTTTTCAGATTTCATGAGATAGGTCACGTACTGTACTTAGCTCGGGCGGTAAGATAGTTGACTGATCTCATGACTTGCTTTTAGCGCCGTGGATTCGAATCCCATCATCGGTCTCACCTTTTTTTCCTATTTCATCAAGCAGACAGGCTATGAACAAATCAAACTAACTAAAGCTGAATAAATCGGGTGCAGGGACTAGCATGCTTGGCGGATTTCGTGGAGCCACATCGGTAGAGCAAAAAAATTAATATTCACTCTCAAAGTCGTTCCCTCTTTCGCCTGCCGCCATTAGTTTTTAATATCCTGCTAAATATGCGTTAAAGTAGAATTTTCAGTAAATGTGGTATTAGTGTTTCCTCGATTGGCTTCATATTTTTTTTCGAGAAAACATAAGCGCAGTGCGCAAACAACCTCTTAACCCTCGTATTTTGATATCATAGTGCAGTGCCTTTTATCTGTAAACTAAACCGTTTTAGGAATAATATTATTTTAAAAGTAAAGGACAACTAATGAGCCAGTTGCTAATTTGATCAGTCTGTTTGGTATTCGATGAGCGTACGCTAAGCAAATGATGGCAAGTTGCTAACGCCTCTGTTGAACGAATAGCGGATGTTCAACATGTTGTAATATAATATTCAAATGTGAATAGGATAGATGAGTTCTAAAACTCGCAAAAAGGCAAAATTCCTTGCGGCCGTATTGCCTATGTTCGCCATGGTGGGTCAAAGGCTTACCCAGTGCCTGCAGAACCTGGTTTTCTGTCGAGAGAGACGGTGATCTGTGTCTCATTTATTTGGTGTGGCTCTGACTCAAGTATCCTTTTTGGCGAATCAGAATCAAGGAAGCTAACAAAACCACGACCGTCGAAGATACGTTCACGTAGCACGCCTACATCCATGAAAATTCCAAATTTGGAGAAGTACTCGTGCAGACTGCACTCGTTTACCCTTTTGGGTAGAGATCCAAGGAAGATTTTTTTGGGGTCCGCGCTCTGTCTCAGTTCCTTCCCAGACCTAGTTTAAAGGGTTCAGAATATCAAAGTTGGGCATTATTGGATACGTCAGTCGCACTTAGTGTAGTCCAGGACTGTCGCGTTTGCAAAAGACATTCTACTCACTTTGAATGGAAAACTGGACTGTACTGGGACTTTATAAATAATACTATCTGAATTGTCATGCCGTGATGAACATTTTAATGTTAAGCTCTAGTTTATCAACTACTGCCTACATGCTTTCTGATGCTAGAATGAGCCGATTGACGAAATTCCTATGTGATATTGAACGTTTCCATTGACATTTAACAAAACACAAGCTTATAGCTCAACTGAAGGAGTAAGCTTCTAGTGTTTCCTGCGCTGAAATGGCATGTGTCTGGCAGGTGAGGACTTATCGTAACCATAAATCACGCGGAGTGTGACAACGACGCTTTCGGTTTACTTTTTTCATCTGGCAACGCTATGGAGAAGGACCCCACTTTACCGTCGGTAGACTTGATCGTGTCATACGTGATTGGCGATTAGGGGAGTTTTATGGGTGGGACAGCGCACAAGAATATAAGCTGATGAAAGGCAGAAAAACACAGAAGTTGTCTAGATTTCTCCTGAAGAACTCATCTTACGCTTTCGTACGACAACGGAAATGAGCGCGATGATTAAAAATAAACAAATAGTAAACTTCAAATATGAAGGATATTGAGTGATGGTTTGACGCCATGGCAGTTGATTGTTATTGGCAATGTAGTGTGCTGCAAAGGCCTGCCAATGGATGCGAAGATAACAGTTCCTGTGTCGTGATCCACAGACTGGCGTTAATGAAGTGGGGTCTTTCTCTATACCGTTGCCCGTCATCCTTACATTTGGACCTCCCTGCAGCTCATCAGGAAAGGTTTTCACTAGCTAGCATACACATCCACATTTGAAAATGGACTCCATCAAGGGAGGCCCTATAAAAGGCCAAAATTGGTTGGCGTAAACAGTTCCCTTATTTTCACCTCTCTTTGGTTTGACACACGTTTGTTCTCAAAAATAACGGAACTTCTAGGCTCTTTACCAATACGCAAAGTCGCAGTGACTGACGATTTTGCACTATGGCGAATCAAATCCCGCATCCCAAATGGAACTGTGGTTAATATTGGCAGTGAATTCCTGATCACTGCATGTTTAATTAATGTGTTCTCTGGACAATAATCAATGTTCAGGGCCACCATTGTAAATGTAGACTGTCATATGGCCTAACAAACTGTCGTAGTAATTTCCACACATTCACGTTAACATACCACCTCTCATACAACTGTCTATTCACACACTTTTACCGTCTTATCAAGATGTCGTTCTGAGCTTTTGATAAGCTCATTCACTGGGAAGAACGTTTGCCGCCGGTCATACTCGGTTCGCCTCCACTTTCAAACGTTATTTGTTGTTCTTCGCCTCCGAACTTATGCGTCGCTTTGAAATAATCCTTCGCGTCATATTGCGTACCGCAACAGGCCAACACACTTCGCACGCTACGGAGCATCTAGAGACTTCCACAAATCCGGTTACAACTGACAATCCTGCTTATCTTCCTACCATCCCGCCGCTGGATTCAAACACTGCGCGCGGAGGTCTTCTGGCGGTTTCTCCATACGTACGTAGAAAATGTGTCCTTTCCTGACGGTGGGACCTGATAAAACAAACATGCCCAGAATCGTCGCAGCAAACGACGTCCCTTCTCCATTCATGAACTCCCCCTCCTCTCATATCCTTATGTGCACTACGAATCTACAAAATTTTTGCATTCGTCCTCTCATACCTAAATTTGGGGTGTTCCGTTAACTATCTGATTACAGAAAACAGGAAAATTACCATGTTTTTGATCGACATTTGGGAAATAACTTTCGAGTTGCCTTATTTTGGAGACAAAGTGTGTTTGCAACAGGATTCGTTAATGTGATCAGTTCTAATGTGACGACATTCCGAGGCACCTTTAAAACTTATGCACTATGCCCCAGATGTTGTCGAACTCATTCTGTACATGCTGTCAAGTGAGGATGAGTCCTAATATACAGAACAATGAACTCTCACTCGTCCCATTAACAAATCATTATATTAATACATCAAATGCTTACCCGGTGTCTGTAGATCTTGGTTCCTCGGTGCGAGACACTGTAATTTTTCTTTTATTTAATTCGTGTGGCTGGGACTCAATCACCTTCGTTGCCGATTCAAGGTCACGGAAGACAACAAAACCACGATCGAGTCGTTTAAACCTTTCCACCAATCTGACGTCCTTTATAAGGCCAAATTTGGAGAAGTACTCATGCAGATCACTTTCGGTTACCGCTTGGGGCAGGGCTTCAATAAAAATTCTGTTCGGGTTCGACTTCTGCGTCACTTCGTTTTTGGATCTGGGTCAAAGAATCAGAGAAGTCAAAGTTAGGCCTTTTCAAGAGGCAGGCGCACGCTACATAGTCTGGGGCAAACTGCCTTGTGAATCAACTTTTTTATTGTTGAATTTGAGGCCTGATTCTGATTTTCAAGCGAACATTATGTCTGCAGGAGGATCATTAGGCTATCCTGATTGCCATAAAAGCGTTCACCGCATTGGTACTTCGTTGCCGAGACTGTTCAGATTATAAACTTCCTGCGGGCAGTCAGAGTTCTGAACGATGGCTTTGAGTGACAATCCGAAACATCAGGCTAATAAACTGCTTCTTCCAGCGATCAGATCTTTTTCTTCTAAATATTCGAGATGTCTTAGCGATTTCGTCCAAACTTCCCCTGTGTCCTCAGTATTTGTCAATACCCCGATCGAGGCAACTTTTTTTTCCGTCACCGTTTGAGGTAGCACGCTCAACGACCCAGTGAATACCGGATCAACCCTCCGGTGATAGGTGTACTAAAATGCTCTGATCTAGCTTTCGGGAACAACGGCCAGACGCAACAAATTTCCTGGCAGATTGTTCCTCAAAACTTTACCACCCTAGGCAGGAGTAAATGTAGATGTTTGTTGCAACATTGGCTAAAAATACGTCGTCGTACACGGTAGACTTTTTACTTTGTAGGCACCTTACGAACCCTCTCCTCATCTATGAGCGTTTTCATACACATTCCCAGCCCTGGCCTGTCTAGAACCCTGTCCTCACCACAGTGCTCACCGTTAGGTGTGGTTGAAAATCACATTCAAATTTAAAACAATTCAGTGAAGAGCATCGAATTATGGTAGGCATTAAAAGAGGGGTTGGTCTACCTACTGACTACTATATTTTTATTTTATTTTTATTTTATTGTATTTTACATATTTTACATATTTTAGTTACATACATATTACATATTAAATTACATATTACATATATCACATATTATATACATATTTACATATTACATATAACATATATTACATATTACATACATATTTGCATATACATATTTATATACATACCTACTGACTATCATATTTTTATTTTATTTTATTTTACATATTTAACATATTTTTCACATATTTTACTTATTTTACATTTTTATTTTTATTTTACATATACTCCGCTTGTTGGATGCCCGAAAATTGGGCCAAAGCTTTCAATGCACTTGGAATAATGATTCGTTTCAAAATTGATCAATGCAATGATTAAAATGATAGAGCGCGGTTATTTTTCAGCAGCCATGTAACCAGCAATTATAAGATTTCAGACTTGCTTGGAAAACCAAACAAGAGAAGTGTGGGGTTACAAGTATTTCCCTCGCACTTAAGTTGAGCTTTTGCTAAGCCCCAAGGTCGTACCAAGTACTGCCGCCTAGTTTCATCTATAATCTTACCAACATTTCAGTCCAAACCACCCTTTCCATATTACTACGAATGCCAGCCCTCGCCCTTACCCTTACTCCAAATGCAATACGAAGAGGGCGTGGCCTCGATCGTATCTCATCAGACGGACATTTTTTTATAACAACCGTGTGCGGAACGCCATTTGTATTTGAGCAGAGTGATACAGTAGGCCGCGTTACTTAACAGCTACGAAGCCAACATCCCGGTCCTTCTAATGGTACGCGAATTTTGAGAGTTTTCTAGATCTTGGTTGGCATGCACTCTCAGTCCTCACTTTTCCACTATTCTCACCTACCTCAACTCTCGCCACCTGTCACAAACCTGACTGAGAATTTGGTGTTTGGCAACGTGTGTGCACAGAAAAGTATAAACGCATATCAGTGGTGCTACTTTGAGTTTTTCGCAAGGCAGACGAAAAAGCGGGTAGTTCTTATGCATAGTTTCTTGCTTTGCACTTATTTGCACAATGTGCATCAGGCTACTTTGATCACATAATTAAGAGATCTGAAAAAATATTGTTGCATCCGGTGTGTTTATTCTCGTCTACTTCCCTTTCTTCATCCCTCTCGGGCTTCCCCTGCTAACACTCAACGTTACTGCCAGTATCTTATTCAAACCGAAGATCGTTCGACGGCAAATTTGTTACCTCCATGCACTTTTCGCAGCTAACTATTTTACCTAGGCAAAATCTCAGCGCCAAATACTGGGCGGGGAGGTCGTTGCGCTTGTTGATTGATTGGAGACCGGAAAACCATGACTAGAACAATTCACAGTTCACGCGGTTGCTGTATGTAGAAAGAAATGTTGTTATGTCAAACTGGAATGAGTGGTTGCGTCCCTCTGAATAAGCCGCGACCTGCAAGATGGCATCGCTCCTCCTCACTGCTACCGCGTGCTCGGTTATCCGCGTCCGGAGTAGTCTTCCGGTTTCTTTGACATAGTCACTTTGCCCACAACTACACAAGACCCGGTGAACGACTCCATACGTTTACCCGTGGCAGTGGATCTTTCGGTCTCATGATCTGGCGCCTTATAGTTGCCTCCGGTCTGTGTGCAACCCCATGTCCAAGGGGCGTAGAAGGACTACTGACGACTTCCAAGAAATTTTCACATATGGCAGAGCTCGCCAATATTTGGGGTTAATGGAATCCTTCTATGACCTCGATTCCGCAGGCACTGGTGGACGAAGTTTTGGGGGTCGCCATTGAAAGGTAGTGTAATTCAGCAACCTTACCTGACTCTGTCTCTAATGATGGATCTAAGTGAGAATCCGAAACGTTGGGCTGATAAAGAAAAGGTGTACTATGTCGCGTGGGGCCACTCGCCATTGCTCTCTAATGATAGATGAAGGAGCAGGAAGTGTATGAAACGACATTTTGATGTTCATTTGTTTACAAGCGCTAATCGAAAAGTGCACAATCTGGCCTTCTTTCCATTAGTCCGGCCTCTGTCCTTCTGTCTGGTACTCAACGCCGAATGCATGCGGTCGGGTGAAGTTAGGAGCCGTCTTACAAACGACCAAGCGGAAGGTAGTGATTTGCGATAGGTATCAAAATAAGATATGACTTACCCACAGAGGAATGTTCAGTCCCCTACGTACTTAGTTCCCTATGTTCATTTTATAGATATGCCCATATTTTTCCTCTTTCAACCTACCTGCAATAACGGTTTAGTGTTAAAATGATCCAGTAGGAAACTTTTGAACTTCAGTAGTGGCCTTCAATTACAAGACTTTGGGTCTGCTCAGAACTTACTAGTGGTGTGAAAATGGTAACACACATCGCCACGAAATCCCTATTTCTTAAAAAATGAAAACCGGTCGGGAAATGCGCAGATGATAACGCCTAGAAACTGTGACTTTCCGTTTAATTTCAAAAGGGTACAAAGTTTAGCGTCCTAGCTTTAACCCTAAGTATAAATCTTACGCTGGTTGCGCCGAAATTCGTCGACAATCTGCCTGTAGTATAAAAATAAGAAGAAGGAGAAGGAGAAGGAGGAGGAGGAGGAGGAGGAGGAGGAGGAGGAGGAGGAGGAGGATAAGGAGGAGGAGGAGGAGGAGGTATTTATAACCCTGTCTTGCTAGATAAAAACGGTAAACGACAATATACTTACTTGGCGACAATTTTCTCTATTATTTGAACCAATATTAGACAGAGTCAGGCTGCAGTTTTTTAGCAGTACCTACCTGAGATTCGCGTAGACATTTGGAATGCCTCGGAACAAAAGATTCCTTCGAGGCAGGTTTGGATAGACTACGCTGTAGTTCTGTCTCAGAAATTAACCCCTAAGGCAGTGCAGCTTGTCACTGATCTGCCAATAAATAGTTTTCCATGCCTTGGGTGTAACGTGAGTGCAAACATGCCAAGAGTAAATAGAAGAACTAAAACTCAATGGATAAATGGATGGATGTTGTCTCTGATGAAAGGTTTAAACAGGAATCCGAAACGTCAGGCTAATAAAGCTCTTGTTCCAGCGATCGTGTCTCCTTCTTCAAAACAGGAACTGTTTAGACGAGAGGAGGGGAAATATCGTATATAGCGGGTAGAGGAATAGCGAAAGTCAGAGCACTCTGGTAAATAAATCAACTGGACTTGCAGTTGGGTCCTGCGTGAACGAAATTCAGCACGGTGCGTTGCCGGATCGACTTTGAGGCGACAGCCATGGAGGAAGTGACAGGCCTCCAGAACGCCATCATACATAGTCCCTGCGTCAGCGAATGTGACGAACCCGAAGCCCCGAGACACGCCTGTATCCTTATCGGTTATTATTTTAGCCCGCCTTACTGTGCCGAATTTGGAGAAGTAGGCTTTGAGATCGGCTTTTGTGGTTTATCGTTTCAACTGATAAACAAGTATGGTTTGTTTTCCGGAGGTGATATTAGCATTGTCCTTGTTCCCTTTGGCTGCAGTGTGAGGTGGGACTTTTCTCCTCTTATTGGGGTTAGAAACACCGCGGCGAGAAGATCTGTAGAGTAAATGCGAAGCAGCAAGAGACATCAAAATAAATGTATGCATCTGAGTAGACGGGTTTATACAGACAGGCCCATTTCAAAAGCAGACGATACGGTCTACAGATTATGAGCTTAAGTTCACCATCAGATTATTAAAGTACATTCAGAGTCATTGCTCTTTTACATCACATTTCTAAGCTTCCGTTCAAGCTTCTTTTCACCCTACGTTGCTGCCCGACGGATGCTTGGTCTAAAATTGTGTCAGGACTTCTGTAGTCCACGGAACGTTTATCAGTTCCACACGCAAATACTTCAGTTTCGTAAGGATCAATGTTTTGCTGAATGCGGAGTCACGGGACAGGCGATGTAGGGCAAGCGATCACTTCCCACATCAGTCATGTACAAGCGTCCTCATTGATTACCATATGAACTGCTCTACTTCAATAACGTAAGGAATATTCACCGGCCAATCTTTTAAACAATCGAATGCGAAAGGCGTCAAAGAAAAGATTGACCTACCTACGGAGGAATATTCAGGCCTCCTTCGTTCCCTACGTTAATTTTACAAATAAGCCCATACGTTTCCATGTACTTATCTAAGGGAAAATGTTATCTAATAGTAGAAAGAATAGATGTGGAATTCCATTAGGCAGAGTCAGATTGCAGTTATTAAACAATGCTGCCTTCCCCCAACTGTAGACGGGTAGGTATTTGAAATGCTTCGGAAAATTAGATTCCTAAGAAGCAGGTTTTTATAATTCACGCTGAAGCTCTGCCAGCCTGCAGTTTTCATGCCTTAGACGAAACTTGAGCCCAAATATGCCAAGAGCAAACAGAATCACTAAAAGTCAATGAATGCCTGAGCAAAGAAAATGGAAACTGCCTAGAGGCGGGGAGGGGAAATTTCGTATATAACAGGCACAGGAAGAGCAAAAGTCAGAGCACTGTGGTAGACAACTCAACTGGATTTGACGTTGTGTCCTGCGGAAAAAATAATCACTACGGATAATTGATGGATTGACTTGGAGGCGACGGCCATGGAGGAAGTGACAGGCATCCAGAACGCCATCATTCATAGTCTTTGCGTCAGCGAAGGTGACGAACCCGAAGCCCCGAGGCCAGCCTGTATTCCTATCGATTATTATTTCTGTCCTGATTACTGTGCCAAATTTGGAGAAGTAGGCTTCGAGATCGCCTTCCATGGTTTCTTGACTCAACTGACCAACAAATATGGTTTGATTGCTGAAGATGACATCGAAGTTGCTTCGTTTTTTGACTGTAGTTTGAGGTGCGACATCCCTCTCCTGATTGTGGCTAAAAACACCGTGGTGGGCAGATCTTTGAAGTAGATTATAGCCGAATGAATCATCAAACGGGTTTTTAGAGACAGATGTTTTTCAAGAGTACAAAATATGGTTTTTAGAATATGAACTAGAGTTCATCTTTGGATAATGAAAGCTCATTCATCGTCACTGTCCCGTAGTTACTGTCTCACATTTATTTCACTGTTAACTGCTGCTTGGCGTCTCATATGCGCATGCATAATCTACTCCTGCAAATGCTCGAGCTAAAATAATTATTTCTGGACTGCTGTAGCTCACGGAAATTTCTCAATTTCTTTATCAATTAATCATATCACATCTGAATTTAAGCTTTCTAAACCGAAAACTATGTAAATTCTTCGCAAGGGAAACTATAAATTTTCAGAGGCTCCTAGAAAGATGCCACATTTCGTAATTGATGTGTATTACGCTGTCCACTTTATGAAAGGCGTAAACAATATGCTGACGTCTAATTTAAGGCTCCATAGACCAAAAAATATTCCTTATTAAGCCCAAAAATTGAAGCATGAGCGGGAAGCAGCCGATTTAGTAAAAAAAGTGGTATTTTTCTGGCATTCTCGTAAGCTATATATGAGAGTTTAAAAAGATATTTAAAACTTATAATAAAAGGTAGCAAGTGTTCATTTTTTCCAGAGAGTTGTCTGAACGGGCAGCCAGAATAAATCTCGTACAAATATTAGTATACTGGAGTGAATAGAATGTCTAAGGACTATGCTGCCCGAAAATCGATAGTACAAGCCTACTTGAATACATTCCTAATATAGAAAACACGTTTCTGAATTTTCGCTAACATTTCCTGAGGTAGCACATCGACTGTAGTAATGTATTTTGATTCTATGAATCCGCGCAGACTGTTTTCGTTTTTTGAAATTGGACAAGCACCAATGCCTTCCTTATGTTAATATTCAACTCTGCGTAAGGTGTGTTCTGCGAACCTTAGGCCATAATTAAAATCTTGGAGGGCATTGGTTCATCAGAATTCAGAAGTAATAGCCCATTACTAAATTTCACTTATGCTCATTTGCCATGGTCATGATCACTTAATAAATTAAAACGTCCGACAGGGCGTGGTCTTTCACAAGATATAAAGAGACACGAGAAGGATGCTGGGGAATAAATGAAAGCATCCACAATGACTTGGGCATATATTTATCTATTATTAGCAGCTGCCTGGCATCTGATTTGCGTGGGCATGACCTACCCCGACGAAGGATTTGTGTACTGCTGTAGCCTACGGACCTTTCTCAATTCCTCTATTAATTAATCTTATCCTGTTGAAGTTAAAGTCTTGCTAAGTCTGCACTTTGTGTCCGGCGAGTTAGTACAAGTGACCGTCTCTCACATCAGTTATGTACGAGTGTCTTCATTCTATCAATACATGGCCTGTTCCACCCCAATAAGTTAATGACTAATTACCGAAGACGCTGTGGTTAAATGTAGCAGACTGTTCGCTCTACGTACAAGAAGGTATTTGGCTAGGATCGACGGCAGATATGGTCATCAACTGACTGAGTTGCACAGTTCCAACTCAGACGCAGCATGTTTTGGTGCCCTTGGCAAGATCGGTGTCTAAGGCATGGTGCAGATCCCTCTCGGTGAGCAGCTAGTAATGGTGTAGACAAACCTTTATCCGTTCTCTCCGGATATTGGTTGTGCATTGGTAGAGGGGCGCCCACCGATCCTTTCTGCTGTTGTGCCTTAGCGCTTTCTTTCTCGAGTCCAATCAGCAGCCGCACAGCGGTGTATGATATAGGTAGACTGGTATTACCGCCAAAGACAAGGGAGACTGGAATAACCATTTCTGGCTTATTAGCCGTCGTCAGCCAGTCATACCCAACGTCGAAGTGTGGAACATCTGGGGCTCGGACTCGCGACCTTTTAATCAGAAGTCCAACGCCTCTAACCACTGGGCCACGGGCCCTTTTTTCTCTTGGTGGCGATCGGGAACATACAATGGTAGAGGGGCGCTCACCGATCGTTTCCAAGGGACGCACTCGTCTCTTTGTGGCTCAGTAGTTAGAAGCGTCGGACGCCTAACTGACAGGTTGCAAGTTCAAGCCTAGGGTGCTCCACACTTCGGGGTCGGATATGACTACTCGACGACGGCTAATAAGCCAGAAATGGTCGTTTCAGTCTCTGTTGTCTTTGTCGGTAGTACCATTCTGATTGTGGAGTGCTGAGGTTCTTCTTGTCAATTGCTTACTGCGTTTGTATAACCGTACTTTAGTGCTATGAGGCGGTTGCTTTTGTTGAACATGCAAATTCGAGAAAAATTCCTAGCATGTCAGGAGTAGTTCGTTTGCATTTTAACAATAAAGAGCTTCCATATCAACGTTCGCTTTGACCGCTTAAATCGACTGTCCTACTCCAGTAACCTAAGAAACGTCCGATGTTCGAAATCGCGACATGTTAGTTATGAGTCCAACGCCCCTAACCACTGGGTCACGGGCCCGTTGTCCTGCCGGGAATATATAATGATAGAGGTGCTTGAAGAAGGATACACGATCGCCGAGACGAGAGCTTTATTAGTCTGAAGTTTCGGACTCCTGCTCGAACTCATCATCAGAGACAACCGCAGATACGAATGATTCTTGCACAAGGGACTGCAGTATTTATAGGATGCAGTCGCCATGCTACCGCATACCAATGAGCATTCACGCCCCCCCCCCTTTATCCGGAATAGTCGCACTTGGTGTGCTAATTGCCTGATAGCCGACTTTCGCGTCATTAATTGCTGCAATTTCATCACGTGCATTGGATGTTGGTGTGATGATTGCTTGACCATCTGAC